CCCTTCAAGGAACCAGTGCGCAGGGTTCCGATATTTAAGAGAGAAATTATGGACGAGGAGCTCCGGAAACTGGAAGAACAAGGGATAATTGAGAGATCTAATAGCCCGTGGTCCTCACCTCTTGTGTTAGTACAGAGAAAAGGACAAATCATGGAGATTGTGTGTCGATTATCGTCGACTTAATGCAGACACCATTAAGGACGCATACTCCATACCTCGAGTGGCAGATGATCTTGACTCTCTCGCTGGATCTACATGGTTTTCGTCACTTGATTTAAACATGGCATACCATCAAATTCCGATGCGTGAAGAAGACAAAGAGAAAACAGCGTTTGCTACACCTCGTGGAGGCCTTTATCAATACACAGTTATGCCCTTTGGATTATGTAATGCCCCGGCAACATTTCAACGAGTGATAGAACAGGCACTAACTGGATTGCAGTGGAAAATCGCAGTGCTTTACCTGGATGATATTATTGTGTACAGTCGAAGTTTTGATGAACATCTTAACAATCTTAATTTAGGTTTTGACAGGCTACAGAGTGTGAATTTAAAACTAAAAGCTAAGAAGTGCAATTTCTTTAGACGTGAGGTTAGTTTTCTGGGACATATTGTATCTGAGAGTGGTATTAAGACCGACCCATCAAAAATTGAAGCTGTAAGGAACTGGAAAAAGCCCGAAACTGTGTCAGAACTTCGAAGTTTCCTTGGATTAGCAGCTTTCTATCGACGATTCATACAAGATTTTGCTAAAATTGCCAGATGTTTGCACGTCCTGACTGGAAAGAATAGTGTGTGGAATTGGACCAGTGAGTGTGACATAGCCTTTCAAACTTTGAAAGAGAAACTTATTTCAGCTCCTATTCTAGGATACCCAGACCCAGATGGTGGAGACTTTGTGTTAGACACTGACGCTAGTAATAGTTCTATTGGTGCTGTGCTATCGCAAATACAAAATGGACGAGAAGTTGTCATTTCATATGGAAGCCGTGTGTTGAATAATTCTGAGCAGAATTATTGTGTTACGCGTAAAGAAATGCTAGCAGTTGTGTATTTTGTTAGACATTACAAGCATTTTCTTCTTGGTAGAGAGTTTTTACTCAGAACAGACCATGGATCGCTAGTATGGCTTCATAGATTTCGAGAACCCGATGGCCAAATTGCGCGTTGGCTACAACAACTTGGACCTTACGTGTTCCGGATCGAACACCGGGCAGGAAAACGACATGGAAATGCAGATGCATTATCTCGTCTGCCGTGTGAATTAAACTGCAAACAATGTAAACGCGAGAAAAATGACTACCATGGCAATGATATATTCTCACATGTAACAGAACTAAGGAATTATTCTGCAAATAATGACAAAGACTGTATGTTAGAACTTAACCTGTTATTTGATGAGAAAACGAATTATGTTCTTACTTCGGAATGTGCTGTTGTTTCGCCTACTCTAAAGTCGAGATGTAATAGACCTGCCAGAGCCAAAGCACGGAAGCAGCCCATGATATCTTTAAGCTATGAGAGCATTCGTGAGAATCAAGCAAAAGACAACGGAATGCAAATCATAAACCGATGGCTGGAAAATGATGAAAAACCGCCATTATCAGTAATATCTGGAGAAAATTCGGAGTGTAAATTCTGGTATTCGAGATGGGATTTATTGTGTATTGACCGTGGTGTGATGTGCATTCGTTGGATTCTAGACAACAAAGAAGAAATAAAGATATGCTTACCGCGAAACATGCGCCATGTTGTGTTGTGGCACATGCACGATTCTAAAGTAGCTGGACATATGTTGGGTTTGGTTCTTCGGTTCAGGCTCCCTGTACCCCTGTACCCTTGGCGCCGATGGCCCTTCTGTGGCTGGCCTTGGGCGCTGTTGAAAAAGGGATTCTGTGGGGCTGAGTTGTTGAAGCGTTATTAATGGTTTGGACCATTTTTGCAAGCATAAAATTGGTTCGGAGGTCCTCCATGGTTTTAGGGTTGACTTTTACCATACCTGCTTTTTTTCGGTTTTAATCCTCTGATTATTTGACCTTTGGTCTGATTGGTGTCTATTTTTAAGTTAACGGCTTTTTCAGTTACCCTGTGTTTAAAATTCTCAACAATTTCAGCCAATCCTTGGTGCATGTCCAGAAGATCAAAAACGTTGTTTGCTGGGTGCTTGGAGCGTTTGATGAAGGCTCTTGAACTGTCGTTAAAATTAATTTCTTTTAATTTTACCATTTCCAACGAAACGAACCAGGTCTCCGCTGCTTCGATGAGGAAGAATGGTAGACGTAGGATGGCTGTCTGTTCCGAAAGACTTTAGATGGATATAAAAGCCATGAACTTCATCCACCACTGAAATTTCTGTAATTATCAAAGGACTTCGGTTATGTTTAGGGGCTTTTGGAACTTCCCATGTAGACAGTTAATATGTTGAGGCAAGTTATCTACCTCTCGATTTAAACTTGCATGGGTATTTATACAACAAAAGAGAAAAAGGGCATTATATCAATTGGTCTTAGATATAAAAAAAAAATATCAGAGATTCTGAGTTACCGTTAAATATAATAAAACCATCTACTAGAACTGACATACCGTCACGGAAATTACTTCATACATCGAAAAAATTTTCCTTCAATCGAAGAAGGAAGAAGAAGGGATGTCCAATGTGTCTTCCTGGTCTCCTTCTTTCCAAACCGCCCTCGACTATTTTTTGCACCCCACCTTATAAAAGTAATTAAAAAATGTTAGACATCTTCACACATATAATTAATTCCACCACGAAATGCTTCGTTTACATGCAGAACTAAATAAAAACTGGTATGTTCTTTCGGCTATAAAATATTAAATAATATTTGCAAAATTAATGATGGTTCAAATAAAATACATTCACCTAGCTGAGTTACTTTATTAACATTAGTCCGATCATGTCAGAAATATGCAGTATTCAATTAGAAACATGTAATACCTACCACCTCTATCACCATCTTTCCATCTCATGGCGTAAGGGGATCATAACATACCCCGTATCATCTGGAAGAAAAGCTGCTTTCCTCTCAAACTTATCATACTCGGGCAATATTCGCCTGGCTGGTCTGCACCTATTTTGTATTTTTTGAACATTCACCAAATTTAAGGTAGAGATTGATAGGTTGTCAACAAAAAAACTACCCATTGAATTTTTCTGAATTTTTTATATGTTTGTGTTTAGTCCTTGTTCTAAATCATATCAAAAATTCAAGGTAGGTCATCAGGCTAGTTTAAGAGAAATTTGACAATTTTAATATAGCCTTCATCAACCACCGAAGAGCTGAAAAAGCAGGGTAAAATAAAATAAGAATATGATATGAAAAGGGCTGTAAATTTTTTATTGCTATATCAATTATCATTTGTCTTATATGAATTCAAACATCTGTCTATATGGATTAATATTTGACATCAATCTTAAATTCATCAAGCATTGTAAGCGAAAAAGAGAATTACATTTACCAAGATGCATGGTCAAATTAGGTTAAAATATTGCCTATTCACTGCACAAAGTCTCCCACTTCTGCTTCCATTGTGAAAAAATTACCCATCAAATTTCTTTTTTTATTGCATATTATAGTTAGTCTACAAGTGTCTTAAATTTCAGAAAAAAATCATACTACGTAATGGGGTTTAAATTCATCCTGGAACAAGTTTATTATCTTACACCCTACCCTACCCCCTTCTTTTAGAAGGATGCACTTTTGAAGAATATGGTGACTAAGAGAGATTATCAAGAATTTATCAAAATATTTCACGGAAAATGAGTTAATTCTTTGTAATATTCTTCTAAATTACATTTTATATCACAAAAACAATTTATACATGTACACCTAGACACATGTTGCCCTGGTTGACCTTTTTGCACTTACATTGAAAAAGATAAGAACTTTCCCTTATATCGTTGAATTTGACTTTGATAGATTGAATTAATCAAAATATTTCAAAGAAAATAGGTAAATTCTTTGTAATATTCTTCTAAATTACATTCTATACCACAGAAAACAATTTATACATGTACACCTGAACATATGGTGACCTGGTTGACCTTTTTGCACTTACATTAAAAAAGATAAGAACTTTCCTTTATATCGTTCAAATTGACTTTGTAGATTTATTATACATATGATTCTTGGATGAATTATCAATGACAATATCTTTTGACCAATTCTGTAAATAAATAAACTGGTCTTATTATCTTCCTTTGACAACAATAGTATTAATTTCACTTTCCTTCAACAATTCCTTTTTCATTCCAAATACATGTACAACATGAATAAGAAAACCCAGTGATTATGAAGTTTTGTATGCAGAATCAATCCATGGCATGTTATCCTTGTTTTAAAAAAATTTAGATAAAAATGTGTTATGTATTACACTGTTAAATGAAGACTGCCTGGTCATCAGTTGTTAGATATCAATACACTGAAGCATCACATGGTAAAAGTGTGGGAAAATGGAGAGTGATTCGGTTATCATTCCATACATACAAAAATACTGTAATAATTTACAAAGAAAACATACAATGTATCAGAGGTAATAATTTGTAACTTTAAAGTATAGATTTTGCAAACAGATTCATAAAAGTTAGAGGAATCCCACCATAAACTGTATATGATACTGTAGATCACTAAATTTTCGCTACACCTTATTTTCGCGAGATTTTCATTGACTCTTTGTAAGCGAGACATAATTTTCACGAATAGTTGTTATTCCTCTATATAATCGTAAGGAATACTTTTATACGCGAGAATTAAATTTTCGCGAACGCATTGTCTCGCGTAATTACGCGAAAATAAAGTTCTCGCGAATAAAAAGTGATTTACAGTAGTGTACAATTTTTAAACTCTTGATGTAGTTCAACAAAATAAAGAGAATACATTCAGTACATGTATGGTAATAGGATAAACTTGCTATTTTGCTTTTTGTCTTATTGGCTAACAAAGATCAATGTAAACATGTATGCATTTTTAATAGCCATCGTATGCAGCCAGTTGCATCATGTTCAAGAATCCTGACAATTCCTTTGTTTTTATTTCAATACAACAAAGGTGTTCTTTCACAAGGATCTGCAGTGAGCAAAATTCATTCTGTATATTCAGATATTGAAGCATGTCTTATGGTGTGATATGTCCGTTCCTCTTTACTGTCTCCTTCTGGTAGTTCTTTTTTCTGAAAAGAACAAAATATTTTAAAACAAAAAGAACGAAAATACATGTTTTACTTCTTTCTTACACTGCAAATATAGTATGACTATGTCTATATGAATATAAGACACTTCTGAGATACCTTTTTATATAATGTCATGATTTTTTTTAATAAATGCATATAAAGTTGGCCTCATTAATCTGGGCACTTTTGCTTCCAAGGAAATTATTTGGATTAATGAATTGTCCTAATTAAACAAACTTGGTATATAAGGATAAAGATAAAATATTTTAGTTTCTAAATGTAGGCCACACTCTAAGGCCAAGATCATGGGGTTAAAGAAAAAGAAATAAACTCAGCAATAACTGTTCAAGAGTTAATACCAAAGGATAAAGTTTTTGTGGAAATGAAGAATTACATGTACCTGTCAGTGACACATCAATTCATATTCAACTTTAACAACATAACTATTATATGTGGAATTAAAATACTTTTCTTTTTACATCTTGTTCCATTTTTTAAATTCAGTTTTGTCCCTAATTACCTTACTGATATAAATCCAATATTCTTTTGTAACACTGCAGATGACACTTGATTAGTAAAGGATCCTATATTTCCGTGGGATCTGTAACATGATTAAAATAAAATAAAGTAGATAGCTTGATCTATTTAAAATTTTTGTGTATAATTTATTAATAATTTTGATTTAATTTGCAAATTTAGGTATGATAACGTGAAGAAGTCAGTATTGTTTAAAAACCATGTCACTTATAAGTTTTTTAACAATACTGACTTCTTCACATTATCATATCAATTCTTTGGTGCTTCATTTTAAACAATTTCATTCAAGTAGAAAACATATTTACATTTTACAATTGTTTTGGTTATTCAGTTTTGAATTCAATTTACAATATGTCTTTTTATATGTTTATACACAAGCATTTAACCATACATGTACTTAAGTCAATAGAGCACCTAACTAGTGATACAGGGATCTTCCGTTAGATTCTCAGTCCAGACATACATATTCCTCGTTTCCTGTCACACAAGTATGCCACTTTATGTTTGAGTTTGCTGTAGCAGATTCGGCTTGAACTTTCCTGAAATATTAATATGATCTTTTAGAAATTATTGACTCGAGAAAATGCTTCTACATGTATACAATAATACTGTATGTACATTATGGTGTGTAAATAAAAAAATACAAGGATTAAAAATCATTATAAATTATAAATTTAAATTTATAATACATGCATTACAAAACCCCTCCTTTTTACCACCCCTTGGAAAAAATTTCTGTATTTTCCCTCATACATGTGCAAGTGTAAATTGAAAGGAAAAAATACAAACCAATGGCTATCTAGGAGTTAATGTTAAGCGCCCTTGACATTCCTCTTTCCAGGTGACACTTGATCTGGTCACATTATTTCAGCAGAGAAAGCTGAATACACTGTCTAGTCCATAGCTTGCTTCACCTGTAGCATTAAATATTTCTTATATAATCTATGAATATGATATCTGTTTATAATCAAGACCCTTTTGAGCTTACAACAAATACATACCTCTACATAAATTTATAACAATACATGTACATAAATATTACATAAGGCAAAAAAAAAAAAAAAATAGTCTTGTTTCCTGCTACCTGACTGACCCTATTTTTTTTTTTTTATTTTGGCACTTGATCCCAAAGTTGTTTCTTTTTTTTTCAGTGCAACTTTTTACAGTTTGCTTTTTATTTCAAAGACAAAAGATTCGCAAGTAAATGTCCACTATCATTTATAAAAGGGGTTATAACCTAGCTGTCATCCAAAGCAGAGAAGGTTTGCATATTTCTGCATTTGAGCAATTTAAGCAAAATATGTTTTTCCATTTTTTGATCTGAGTAACTAAACACCACCTCGTGTGTTAGGCACAGATAAGTATGATTACTTCACATTTTTGCTAATTTTACCAATCCGGCCTTTATCATGTTCTGACACCAGAAATGTCTGGTTTTGTTCCTCTATTCTAAAAGTTACAGACTTGTCATATAATAAGTTTTAATTTTTAGCTAAATAAAACAACTTTAGGAAGGTAAAAAAATCTATGTAGGTTATTGATAATTGGAGCTAAATATATTGGTTGTACCAGACCTGTGCGTAAACAATCAAGCACTTTAGTCATGATCGATATACTAAGTCATAAATATTCACCTTATGTATCTGACATGGACACAGCAAACATAAAATCTGTTCTGCAAAAATTTTACTTCTTCCGTCATACCAATTAACATCTGTAGGCTCATGGTCTTTAATGTCTATATTGAAAACAACATCAGGCACAGATCGATACCGGTGTACCCACGTGGTGCTGCAGTGGACACTGGACAAGGAGTAGTTTCACCAAAATTATGTTCATGGTCGGTTTCAGTCTCACTTCTATTTTGATTCTCATGAAGATGCTTCAATTTCGAGAACCGTAAAGGTTTAATATGTATGCCAAATTTGTCTTTTAAACGAGGAAATTTCTCGATTGCTTCGTCGGCCATCTTGTAGCATGGACAACAATGTGTAAATGGAGAATTTTATTTGACGGCGTTGCGGAATTCCGGAAAAACAGCACGTGCAAATATGCGAATTCTCTGTATCACGTGATTGCTATCGGTCTCTACCTTAAAGAGAAGTTGCATATAAGAAGCTAAAAATGTTCAAATGTTAACGCACGACGACAGACGAAAACAGATAGCAATAGGTCACTTGAGTCTCAGGTTACCTAATAATGTCTTGTTTTAAACTTATTCCTTGCTGCTGGGATATTGATCCGATTCCCATTCGCGTAGGTGTATACCTCCATGAAGCGTCCATTTTCTAACGATAACTTACAGCAAGAGGAAAACATGTTATCAATAACGCTTTAGAATAAATACCAAAATACAAAGACATCTTTTCGGATATTGCACTGGAAAAGGGTCATATCCGATTCATAACGTATTCATCTTGCTAGACCGGAATTGATGGTCTTCACAATATTTTTTATGGGTGTAATCGTTTTCCGGTCTGAACACAGGGATGTTCATTTATAAAAGTCGACATAAATTTTTTCAATGTTTCCTGAGCACTTAATCATCATTGGGGATACTCTCTCGATTCGTGTCTTAAACCGACATCTGTCTAAAGTTAACATAATCCACTCTCCTTTACAGTCTTTACAGTTTTCAGGGAATGTTAATTATTACACGTACCACCTTATTTAAAATCTTAAACACTTTTTTCATCTTTATCAAAATAATTTCTTTGATCACCAGTTCTTTTAATTCACAACAGAGTGCTAATTGTTATTTGCTTATCCTTTTGTCTGAAAGCAATATTTTTCATTGCGTTAATCGCTGCAAGATGAAAATAAAAAAAACTTAACAAATTTATCAACACTTATAACTAAATTATTCGTTCACTCTTTTAACAAAAACACAGACTAATTCATCTCTTTTCGAAAATGACTTCTTCAAATGATTTAATCCAGCTAAATGTCGTAGTATTGTACTATTAATCCTAACCATTCATTATGACTACTCCTTTCTCAACTAATTATCTTGTTTGCTACGTCACGATCCTCACTCATACCGATGCTCAATCTGGGATATGTCTCACACTATACTACTATCGTTCACATACCTACCTAATCTGCTGTGTGTGTTTGTTGCATCAATACTGATACTGTCATCTAGTAAATATAGGAATATTAAATCTAAACAAAAACATATCTATTCAAAGATTGTGAGGCTCACCTTCACTGATTATTGCGTTGATGAAGTGAAATGACAGAATAAACATTCATGTTTACAATATACTTATTTTTTTTTTACAAACCATTTCACTCCATCCATTTGAAGTAATATAGGTAACAATGTCTACCCTCCTCCATTTTTCTATTTTTCTGAATTTATTGGGTCAGTTCTTTCCCCTTAACCAAAAAAATACATTGACCTGGTGTAAACTTGACTAAACGTTTTCATTTTATTGACTGTATAAAAAGCATCTTTTCTAAAAAAAAAAATTGGATGCCCCTTAAAAAGGCCGTTTGGTCGATTTTTTTCGACAGGGTTTACTCCCTATGAGGCTTGCCTCTTCCCAGGAACTCCCGTCTGCAAGAGAGGGGTGGCCGCTTGATGCAGATCATAGGCTCCATGAAGTCCAGTCTTGCGGGGGGTGGTGGTGGCGGTCTGGCTGGGGTAGGCGGTCTCTAGGCTAAGGTAGGCGTAATCCTCCGACTCAGCGGGTGGTAGGGGGCCTCGGTTCCCGGCGTCTGCAGAGCTGGCAGCACGAGGGAGGATTCGTCTAGGTGACCAGCACCCGAATTCAGCTTTAACAGGCGTACGTAGTTGGACGGCTGGTCCTCCTGGAGGCAGACTGTACAGAAATCGATCCGGGCCTCCGGTACATGCATCCCCCAGACTGGTACGGGCCCCCTCGGCCGGCACCAGTGATCCCCGTGCAGCAGATCTGGCTGGGGATGGGGATGTGTATTCATAGTTGGATTCAAATATGAAAAAAATAGTGCTGAAAGATGTTGGAGTTGAAACTTATCCCCCTTCCCTTATTCTGTTTGCTTTTCCGTCTTTTAATTGTTGATTTTGTTTTCTTTCCTTTCCAATATTTTCATTCATGAACGTTCCCAACATTTCCTAAAACTCCAAAAAGATGATTAAACTGTTCTACTGTAACACCTGTGTAGAATTTGAAAAGTTTGCTTCGAGTAGCTAATGTCTCATATGCAATTTTTTTTTTACTGACCACTTTTATTTGACTCTTGCTTTTAGTTTGTGCTTCATTTTTCCATAGTCTGCGTTCTATTTTATTTGCAATCACATCAACACACTGAAATGTTGTTTGTGTATCACTGTCGCGTGTTGTTCTTCAGTTAATCTCTGTTGAGATTCTGCTGGGCTAGATATTTGGACTGACGCCCGCATAATCTCTGGACAGTCCTATATAATTCATGTCTGGAGATCAAGTCCCAACTTCGGCCGACTATAGCAAGAATAATTCACCTAAGCCACACAGCTGCTCGCTTCAATTAAGTCATTTGGTTGTTTATTTGACCCTCTGTCACTTTTATTTCTACATTGCTTACCTTTTAGGCATGTAAATCCCAACATAAAAATATTCACTGAAATTTCAGTTTTTAAATATGGCTCCTGTAACGAAATTGTTTACCTCCTCAAATAAAAGAGTTCTTATAGTCTGTTTTTACCCTAGGTGAATCTAAACCAATGTCTTCTGTGGCTATTGAACATCAATTAGGGTAAAAACAAAGTTTTCGCCAAAGGTTTTCAAAGTGTCAAAGTTTTTCAAAGTGTTAAAGTTTTCGCCAAAGTTTTTCAAAGTGTCAAAGTTTTCGCCAAAGTTTTTCAAAGTATCAAACTTTTCGATCAAGTTTTTCAAAGCATCCCAAGTTTTCGATAAAGTTTTGTAAATTTTCAAAGTTGGCGATAAAGTTTTTTAAAGTCTCAAAGTTGGCGATAAAGTTTTTCTATGTGTTAAAGTATCCAAGTTTTCGACAAAGTTTTTCAAAGTGTTAAATTTTTTGATAAAATTTTTCAAAGTATCCAAGTTTTTGATTAAGTTTTACAAAGTATCAAAGACTTCGATAATGTTTTTCAAAGTGTCAAAGTTTTCAATGAAGTTTTTTTCAAAGAATCAAAGTTTTCAATAAAGTTTTTTAAAGTGTCAAAGTTTTCAAAAAACTTTTTCAAAGTTTTAAAGCATCCAAGTTTTCGATAAAGTTTTTCGAAGCATCCAAGTTTTTGATTAAGGTTTTCGAAGTATCAAAGTTTTCGATAAAGTTTTTCAAAGTTTTCCATAAAGTTTTTTGAAGTATCAAAGTTTTCGCCAAAGATTTTCAAAAAAGTGTCAAAGTTTTCACCAAAGTTTTTCAGAGTGTCAAAGTTTTCGTCAAAGTTTTTCAAAGTGTCAAAGTTTTCGCCAAAGTTTTTCAAAGTGTCAAAGTTTCCGCCAAAGATTTTATAAGTGTCAAAGTTTTCACCAAAGTTTTTCAAAGTGTCAAAGTTTTCGTCAAAGTTTTTTGAAGTATCAAAGTTTTTGATAAAGTTTTTCAAAGTGTCAAAGTTTTCGCCAAAGATTTTCAGAGTGTCAAAGTTTTCACCAAAGTTTTTCAAAGTGTCAAAGTTTTCGTCAAAGTTTT